AACAACAAGTCTAAGAAAAGTTTATTACTGGAAATTAAAGACATTTCATTATCTTCAGACAAATTTTTCTTGATTGTAACATTACTAAGTCTGCACAACATTATATTGGTCAGGTTAATCAATTTGTATATCATGCAGGTTTATTATCCATAAACGTTACATTCAGCACCTCTTTTGTCTCCTGCGTCTGCTTTTTAATCTATACCCAAACATCGATGAATCGCCCATTCTAAAAGTGAACTTATTCACACCTGTCAGCAATAACCAAAAAACACTTCAATCACAAACAGCACAAGTGTTATAGTTTTATTAAGCAACTAATTAATTAAGGTTTTGCATGCAAGATTTTTTATCTGTTTGCTCAGTAGCAACTAATTTCGATAAAACCAGAAAGTCTTCTAAAATCACTGAATCAGAGTAGTGCCAAAAAATATTGAAAATTTGAAAAATTTATTAAAAACTTTATTTCTGGTTAAGCCTCATTATAAAATTGAAATTTTGAGGAAGTAACTCATTTATGTTGACAGCGATATTAAAACCCTTATTAGAGGAACTAAATAACGGTAAAGAGTAATATGACTGTAGCAATAGTCAGTGGCTAAAAACTGGTTAACAGAAAGAGGATAGACTAAAAAGGCCGAAAAATGATAAAAATTTTGTTAAAGACAAAGTAAACTTAAAAACATAAAAAAAAGAAGATGAAGAGCAAAATTATTAAGCTGAAGTGATTGCACACGAAGACTACCATAAACTTAAATCACCTCAAATTTGCCTGATTTAAGATGGTACAGCCATTGACCAAAGCCAATAATTTTTGTTGATAAAAATGCATTTAAACTACAATTTTTGCCTTTCACAAAATAGGGGCAACTGCAGAACTGGATTTATAACATTGAAAAACTTAGAATTGAAGCCTTATCTATTTTGATTATATAAAGAAGAAGCTTTTACCAAAGATCCTGAGAACCAATAAAAAAATTTAGATAAACAGCATAAAAGTACTGTTTTCATTCAGCCTCAAATTTCATTCTTGTTTATTGCTTCTAACCAGAAGTGTTAAATACATAAACCTGAAACACTAATGATTCCAGTTCTAGGAATACTCTTGTAGCTTAGAAACGTTTTTTACGTTATCTGAAAGTTCTTTTTCATCCGTAACCTCGAAGGCTAAAATCAAAAATTTTTGGTGTCTGCACAACGATAATTTGCAAGCGTTGTTTTATAAAACACGGTTTTTCGAGATAAGCTTCTGGCGCTTGATAAATGGTCATTTTTCATAACGGTTCTTTTTGGGTACTGGTTTGCAGCGGATAATAATTTCGGCTCTGTAAAATGCTTACAGCAATTGTAATAGTGGTAGATTTATATTAGTCTTAGGTCGTTTTTCAGCGTATAAGTCCCAACTTTATTCAAAAGATTTCTGAAAATGTGGTATTTTATAAAAAGAAGAGTTCTGCTCAAGAAACGTCTTTTCTTTTTCAGAAATCTAAAATTAGTTTTTTATATTCTTCAAACTTTTGTTCGTTCGTAGAAGCTTACTCAATGTAAAAAGATAAAATTTGTTTCATTTGCCTAGAAATAGAAAACATAAAAAGTTGAAGAAAAAATAATAAACTTTACCAATGTAGATTTAAATTATAAGTTTAGAGAGATTGAAATACTAAGCCAAAATCTGGCAAATTCAGTAACTTTAAGAAACATAACTAGGCAAATGGTTTGATTCTTCACGTTCTTACTTCTGTTTCTAAATTCTTAGCTGAACCTCTACAAGACAGCAAAATTCAAGAAATTCTGAGGCACTGATTAAAAATACTGTCAGCTGCCTTATTTGCATATATGTATACTTCTATAGTGAAAAGCACATTGAAATATTTTCAATTTTAATAGTTGCTTCTCAATGATTGTCAAAATTCTAGACGAAATAATTTTGTATTAAACTTTTTTATTTTTAATAGTTTTCAGACTACAATGCTATCTGATGTACAAAGGCTCTGTGTAAAACGGTGTTATAAACGAATTAGTCACAGGCAATATAAACTGAAACATCACAGAAATTGATCACTGTAAAAAAAATTGCGAAAATAATAAAGATTACAAAAGGGTTTGTACAAAAATAGGTTACTAAACTATGTGCAATTTTCATGCAAATTCTACACTTTAGGCTTTCACATTTAAAAACTTCAAAGCTAATAAAAAAAGCAGTATAAAAAAAGAACTGAAGAAGAAAGATCAGGAACGAAAAAACTTCTGTATAGCTAAGAAACATTTATGTTTTTCTTAAACGTCATTTTCGTTTTGATGTTCAGTTTTGCTGTTACAGAAAACAACGTTCCCTTTTAATCTGTTCTAGTATTACACTGGTGCCGTATTTCACAGGTATAAAAGTGTGTTGTGGTATAATGAAATCGTAAAGTATTACTAGTAGCTCTGAATCTTGTTGACTGGTATCTGTTGTGCACTTCTGGTGAACAAAATTTATCACCGTGTCCACTCAGTAAATACAGAAAGTACTTATCGTTAAGTTATGTGGTTATCTCGTTTCGCAAGATTTTTGCCGTTTACATAACACTCTTCACAGCTATTCTAAAAAAGTTGATAAAGTAAAAGAAGTGAAAAAGCCCAATAAAGTAAAAAAGCGATTATTGCAGTTTGTTAATTTAAGTTTAGTTTCTTGAAGTTAAACTACTGGTAGCGCATCTTTCTATTATTCATTGTTTCACTTGATTTGTTAATTCTATTCTTTATAGTTTCATACGAGCTAATAAGTGCTTGAGGTGTAAAATTCTTAAAATAATAAGAGCTACTTCTTCAACTTTGCAGTAACATTAAGTTTTTCCTACGTTTCTATCTCTTCTTTTTTCTTTTTACATTTTTTTATTTTCTTATACTTCTGGCGATAAATATTTGAGAAGAAGAATGAGAAGAAACTTTTGCCACGTAATTCCAGACGACTCATACTTATAAAACTTGAAAGATTAATTTTTTTTACCAACAACTATTTGAGGAAAAGAATGCGAAGAAAGTTTTGTCACGTAATCTGCATTAAAAAATTAATGTTGAATTCTTTTTTGTACAAAAATAAAAGTTAAAGTGAGGTTAGAACTATATATAAGCAAGTTATCATAAATTGTATTAAAAAAAAACAAGTTTTTAGAACCAAAAAGGCCAAAAAAAGATGTATAAATAAAAAACTAACGTTTTCTGAGAGCTTAACATTTCGTAACAGTCATCGTCATCTAAATTACCTGTGTGTCTCAGCTTTAACGTTTCAATAAGTAATTTTTAAAAAGGTTTACAAAATCTGATAGATCAAAGCTTATCTGAATAAAAATTAATGTGAAATAAGAAAAAAATGTGTATTGAAAACAAAGATTATAGTAAGTTGTAAAAAAGCAGAAAAATCCACGCTTATTCTACGACGTCTGCTTAAAAGGCTTTAATTGATAATAATCCTATAGCATAATAGATTAGATTAGATTTATTGTAACAAAACCACTATGCGTATTTTATAGTGTTACTATTTGAAAGCAAAGTTATATCTGTACAGCTGTCGAATGCTATGCTGTACAAGGAACTTTTTACTCGGAAGTGAATAAAATAGTTTTGCTATCCTCATCAGAAACTGCATAACTAAGTTTTGTATTAAAAGCCTGAACAAGCTATGCCACTTATTAACCAAAAAAGCATATTTTATTTTACTGAAACTGCTACTATTATTAAATTGCTCGTTTTTTTAGACCTGGTAGCAGTTAGTAACTATGTTGTTTGAGAAAAATTAAAAAGAGATCATTCTTTTTGAATAAACTTTAGTAAAAATCTAAAGTGATTATGCTATAACTTATGGTAAAAGAAAAATCAGAGTCGTTTCTAAAACAAAAGTTGTTTATCTTCTTACCCAAGAATCTCTTCAAGAATAAAATCATTATAAACCACTGTTTTTTTTTCTAAATTTCACATTAGAAAACGGACAAATTAGCAGTGCCGTTACGGTGCCATAAACTGTTGAAATGTTGCTGACCCAAACAGCTGTAGGAGCTGCTTCGCCGGTCGTATTTCAACTAGTTTTCGTTTTTTAAACAGTTGAAAGGAGTTGAAATGTCATGGAAAGCGAGACCGATAAATAGAAAAATCGATAAGGAAAAATTTTCAAATTGACAACTATATTTAATTTGTAAAGCGTTTTAAACAGTTTAGAGGAGTTGAAAACAGATGATTTAAAGGCTTGAAGCTTCAGTAAAACCATCTTTTGTTAAGGCATTACAACGGCTTCAACTTTCACTTTCTTGCTGAGCCCTTAGGAAAAAATATTGATTGCTGACTTGTTTTGTTTCGTTATTTTTAGATGAAACTAATTTGATAAGCGACAATTTTTTAAATCGATTTAATGTTTATATTTATGACAAAATTTGTACCCGGAATAATAAATTTTTTCTGTATATAATACTCTGGTATAGTAGAGAAAAAGTTGCATACAGACGTTTTTGTAAAACTGGTTCTCACAAACAATTATATCAAACCTTGTAGTCTTTTTAAAAATACTTCTTTTCTTGCTAGTATACAATCGGTTTAAAAAAAAAATTTTTTTTGTTTCTTGTCTAAAATTTAGAGTTTCGTTAATTTTTTTTGTAGAGTCAGGAGATGTATTTTACACAAAGTTTGATTACGATTTACAATAGAAAAGCCTGCAAATTGTTTTGTGAATCTTTTCAATTGTGATAATGCAGAAAATTTAGACATCTTTAATTTTGTTGAAAATAACCGATAACTATCGACTGATCATCTATATCAACTTGCTAATTTTTTATTTTCATCTATATTTGTAACATTTTATTTACGATAATTCAGCACTACTTATTTTTAGAAATTCTATCGTACAAAAAAAAAATTAATATTTAATTTTGTCAATTGCGTGCACGTGAGATGTCTAAAAATTAAAAAGTTTTAACAGGAGTGAAATTAAATGTCAGAATATGATAAATAAGTTTGATTATTGAAGAAAGATGCATATTTCACTGCCATCTCTAGTATTTGCTATTGCTGTGCTGATACCGGTATCGGTCCAGCTTTCCACAATTTTAAAATGCTATCAGGGACGTTATGGCGGAGGAGGGCCTGATATTGCAAACACTGTGGTACTCGACTACTGTCGGCCATTTCATAAATGTTGCATGATGGCCATGTAAGTTACTCATTTTTTTAGTTAAGTTTATCCTTACTAAGACAAAAGTTTCTAAACAAAATCACTATTAATAATTTATTACCAACCTGAACACTACTGGATCTAGAAAATAGAATTACGTAAAACTTATTATTTGTTTTTCAACTCTTTTTTGGTTTTTCTTATCAAGTAATAGAACTGCACCGAAGGTCACATTCCTTAATATTGCTGACAGTGAATATCTTGAAAGAAAACTGGTTTGGTCGCATTGACTGTTTTCTTATTTATTCAGTCTTGTGAAGAAATTTTTTAAATCATTCTGTAAGCAGAAAAGATTGAGATCAGATCTACTATACTTTGATTGTGTGAATCCATTGGAGGTTCTAAAATTCAAGCATTAAAATATTGGTATGATAAATTCGGTGATTTCTAATAGAAGTATTTAGTTCCTTGAACGGGAAGACTTACAGTTGCTCGACTACTTGCGTAACACCCAGAAATAATACATGTGGTCCAGACCCAGACGATGTTGCACAAATTATTGATGTTCAATACTGCTTCTGTAAAAGTCATGAAGAAGCGCTGTGCTCACCGAGATCTAAATAGTTTTAGTTTATTAAGACCATTACTAAGAGCTGTAAGAAATTTACCGTTAATTTTTCACAAGTTATATTCATTCCTCTTTGGAAATAATTGTGTGATACTTACGCCAGTGAATTCCTTTTAAATAATTTTTGTCTGGAAATGTAGAGTTGACTTCTACTCATGTGTTCGACTGCGATCTGCAGCCTCAAATTTGTTCTTGTTCTGTACTCACTCTTATTACCATTAATGTAAAGCGCTTTTGATTGTAACTATCATTATTATCTTTCACGCCTGAAAATCTACAATTTGTTGTCAGTTAAATCGGTCAAATGTTATGCTGTCGCCATCTTGTTCAGTGAAGAACAACATTTTTTTGTATTATTATAACGTCATTAAAGTATCAAACATTGAAACTGGTATATTATCAGCGTTTTTGATTTGGTAGAGCTGCAAAGAATCGATATGAATTTTTTTCTAAGTGTCCCGTGTTTTAAACGTTTATGTTGTGGTGTTTCAACTTCAACTCTTATTTTATTATTAAACCGTCATGGATCTTATTCTAGCAGAACAGAAAAGTAAATGAGAATATTTTCAAAATTATCGTTTACTAAGCTTAGAAGTTTTGATGTATAATGGAAGGTAACAAGGATTACAAAGGAGTTTTAATAGTAGTTTTAATTTTTATAATAATACGTTTAAAACTCTATTTTAAAGTATCTGACTAGTAAATTTTAAAAATGTAAATTTTAAAAAGAAAGACATTTACTTTTCTGGCTTTGACATTTGTTTTACTCAGAAGGTGTAAATATTGAAACTTGTATGTACCTGAAAATGACCGACCTTTACAGAATATGTCGAATAGTTAAAAGTGAATAGAAGTTACATGGAATTGACAAAAACAAACTGAAAATGTTTTTATTGCTTGATGTTTTGTTTATTCATTAAATAGGAATAAATAACTGTACATATAGTTGGCAAATTCGTGCAGTGGACAGTGAATCGGCCTACAAACCTAAGAACTAAAAGTCTAAGTTTTAGCTTGTCTCAAATAAATTATATAGGTTTGCGTTACAAAAAAAAAAATAGAAGATTATTCGCAAATGTTTCGATATTTACATCGATTAAGTGAAAATAAATTTTTGCTTTTGTTATCATATTAAGTGCTATTGTCCTTGTAAAAAACTTGTTCTTCTTTGCAAAATTGCATTTGTACTTATTTGTGTGGAATACCACGAAACAACCAGCAAAAAGTTTATCTGTACTATTTCTGGATACCAATAACAAATTCAAGTTCTACTTCGCTTTATTAAAAGTCTTAGCATTTTTTGAATTATGCCTTTCTGGTTAGCACTTTTTTTTAGCAACTTTAGGTTAATTTTTCGACAAAATATTTCTTCCTACATCCACTTTTGCGCAACCTTTTTTCTGATATCTATCTGCACAGTTAATGGTCGTATTTTCAACTATTTATCTTTCAAAAAATTAATTTTTTGCAACAACTGTATATGACTAAAAAATCAATTGTAAACCATTTTATTTATCCACTTCTTTTTTTTTGCAAAAGAGTGAAAAGAAGAAAGAAAACGATTTTTTTATATAGTAAAAAAAAAAAAGGAGAAACGACACTGAGAAAAACCATGCTGCTCAGTTTCAATTTGCTACTCATTATTTTGGCAACTGAAACATTACAAAAATATTAAGCAACAGTAAGAAAAAGTAAATTTATTCAATTTTTTGGTCGTTTACTTTTCAACTTATAGATTTAAACAAGTTAACATAACACTTTTTATCTTCTGCATTACAAGTGCACGCTCTTATTTCTCTTGTATTTAACGTATCACTTTTGATTAGTTTCATTGCTATTTATTATGATACAGGGATTGTTTAACAGTCTTCTAAAGTACAGCTGTAGGCTAGACTAAAGATAAGGTAAATTATACTTTGTGAAAAGGTTTGTCAAGTACAATTAACAAAAAATTTGTTACAGTGAGTAAACTCAAGTTTTTAATGGAGGTATTGTCATTGCAATTGATGAAGGCTACAGATTTGAGCTCTTTATCAACAGCATAATTCAACATTTCACTAGCAAAAATAATTTCTTGAAAATAAGAACTACTGAATAATTTTAAAGTGGTAATTATAATTTGACAGTTTTTGTTGGTTTCTTTGTTGATGTAACAAAAAAACCTAATAACTATTGAAAATTAACTTGAATATGAGATTTCTGGTTTTCAGCAGACTTATAGTTACAAAAGAAATTTAACACCTTTTTTTATAACAACAGTGCATAACCAATATGACAAATACATCTAAAGTTTTGTTGAAATTTTAATATTTCAAGTTAAGACTGTAAAACTTGAATCTGGTTAACAAAACTATCTTAGACTGTCAAGTGTTTTTTTAAAATAGAATTGGCTGTTTATAATTATCTAAAAAAATTACACTTTTTTGATGATGCTCGTCACTGAAATTCTTTTTCTTTTCTCGTCTAATAATTGACTTTTTGGTAAGATTCTCTATTTAATAATAAAGTACACTTACTTTTTTTTCGATATGTAAACTTTTACCAATTTTTTCCGTTGCTCTAAC